GGAAAACTGGCCGGAGTAAAGGCTCAGCTAATGTTGAACCTCTTCTCCATTCACAGCAAAAAAGGCTATGAATTACAAAGAGATCCTAACGACTGACCTACTCTCTGCCCCTTTCTTCCCGGAAGGGGAGATATCTATAGATCTTATAAGATATACGAACCAGAGTCCTGGCAGGAGCTTTATTAAGCTCCCGACGGCGGCAGCTCCTCCCCTCGAAGCCTGCACTTATTATCTTGTTGAACACTTAAGTGATTGGAACTCCACCTTCTATCTGCTAAATACCTGTGTCCACTTAAACTGCCTTGGTTTTTCATTAAAATCAATATGGCAATACAGGTAGTTATCAATTTACAACCATAATTGAGCCCAAAATTCTGTTACTAAGCAAGATAGTTGTTGTGAGGCTTGCACATTTTACAACCTTTCTTATCACAGTGAATCATTGTGATCATTAAGTTAGTAACACATTTGTTAAGTGAATCTGGCTTCCCCATAGACTTTGCTTATCAGAAAGTTGCAGCTGTCATAAATACATGCCAATTGACAAATGTCTGAAGTTTGATCATGAGACCATGGGAATGCTGCAATAGTCATAGATGTGAAAAATGGTCATAAATCGCATTTTTGGTGATGTGGTAACTTTGAATGGTCACTAACAAGTGGTCATAAGTTGAGGACTACCTATATAGTTATCATGCAGGGAACAGCAGGGTAGTATGAATACACACAATAACAATTCAGGAACTAAACAATTTTTCTGTGTATCATATTATATTAAACTGCCCAAAGTCATGATAGTGAAATGGGAATTTAATTTAATTTAATACATAAATAAATTTAATACATAAATGATGGGAAAATATAATTGCCTAAATGAGATAGACTTCAAAACAAGGACTCACTGACTGACAAAGCAAAGTACTTAGTCATTTGAATTATTCCTTAGTGAAAGAATATCATGTTTTCACTGCTTTGAATTTATCTAAAATATACACTTTTTTGGGTAAATGACTGACCAGTGGTATCATGCAATTGGCTTATCATGGGTCTGATATTGACAAGACAAAGAAAACTAAAATCTTCTTTCTCACTTTTAAATTGTAAGCCTCTCAAAGTCTGTTAAATGAGATGGGTGGTGTTGAAATGTGGAAGATGAGTCTCCTAGAATGTGCATGGATTACCAGAGGCTTAATGCGATTTACATGGGAAAAGTGTGTCCCTTGTCATTGATGAAAGACATGTTGAACTATTTGGCAAAAGGAAAATCTTCCCCAAACTATTATAGAATTCGCATCAGGGAGGAGGATGAATGGAGAACCACTTTCAACTGCCTGCTGGGATACTTCCAATTTTAAGTCTTCCCACTTGGCTTACAGGGAACTCTCCCATGTTCATGCAACTAATTAATGAAGCGCTACATGAGCACTTATAAAAAGGCATCCTAGTTTACCTGAATAGCATTCTGATTTACACCAAGATGAGCATGTTAAGCTGATAAGGACAATCCATGGAAAACTATGCATAGCACAAATCTATGCCAAGTTGTCTAAATGCAAGTTCCACAAAACTAAACTGTACTACTTGGAGTACTGAATTTCCTGTGCACTCCCACTACTGAACCGGTAGTGAAAAAAAGAGGATACCATTACTGTAGCATAGCACAGCACAGCACAGCACAGCACAGCATAGCACAGTATGATATTATAAGACAATTATATGCCAAAAGCAAGAAAGTTACACTTTAGCTTGGCACAACTTGTATATCCAGCCTTAGATCAGATTTTTTGGTTGTTTTACTATGACTATATACCAGCAACCTTATTCAGGTGTTTCCCTCTCATAAGATATAACACATATATACCCATATTTTTCGGAGTATAAGACGCAGCAAGGTTTTGAAGAGGAAATTTTTTTAAAAAAGTTTTTGCACTCTTTGCACTTTTGCACTCTCAGAAACGGCCCGTTTTTCATGAAAATGAGCCCATTTTTTAAAAAGGGCATGAATAGCCCTTAGGAGTCTTTAGAGGGCTGCTGGGGGCTGGCGGGCACAAAAAATGAGCTGTTTTTCACTCATTTCTGCCCTCCCAGGCCCCAGGAGCTCTCTGAAAGTCTTCTAAAAGCTATGCACGGCCATTTTGGTGAAGGAGCAGAGTTTCGGGAGGCAGAAAATGCTATATTCAGTGTATAAGATGCACCCAGATTTTCAGCCTCTTTTTTGAGGGAAAAAGGTGCATCTTATATTCCAAAAATATGGTAATCATGCCAAACTTTAACCATGCAAGCCCTCATATAGTTTAATTTAATCTCCACTGTGAGTTTTAGAATAATACAGTAAACTAAGAATCAATTGATTGGTTTGAATGACCATCAAATAAAAACAGCCATGGTGGTGCAGTGGTGAGGATGCAGTACTGAAGGCTAACTCCCAGCTCGCTCCAGGAGTTTGATTCTGAGTGGCTCAAGGTTGACATAGCCTTTTATCCTTCTGAGGTTGGTAAAATGAGGAGCCAGATTGTTGGAGACAATATGCTGGCTCTGTAAACCATTTAGAGAAGGCTGTAAAAGCACTGTGAAGTGGTATATAAGTCTAAGTGCTATTGCTATCAATTATTGTTGACGTTTAAAGACCACATTTATTTTTTCTAGGCGGAGGATAATCAAACAAACAAAAAATGAACTTACCCTGAATTGCTGGGCCCCAAGCAAATAAATAGTACCAACTTAGATGGAGATCTACGATAGTTTCATCTCTGGGAACCTTCACTGGGCGCTTAAATCGACATGTGACACGGTTATTTTCAAAAACACCTTCTTCATCTCTGGCAGGGTTTCTTTGGATCTCTTTTGCCCATTGACCAACATTGTAGAAGTGATGTATTCTGACTCTTCCATTATCATCATGAACACAGGCCATAACATCATCTCCACCCTAAATTGAAAAATGAAGTAAGAATTTCACTGAAATATGAAGATAGATAATCTTGGCATAAAGTGATCTCAATATTGGTGAATGAGATAAGGGTCAATGCTGAGATATTATGATGGTCTGAGAGAATTTCATGCTTCTCCTGGCCTTCATACAAGTCCTCCAACCTATCTACTTTCTCTCCCATCTCTGCCTTTCAGCTGCCTTGTGGCACTGCCTCCTTCTGCTGCCCCCAGCTGATCCTGACTGTCTTGTTCCTCATGCTACTGCTGGGGTGCATCTGGGCAAGGCAGCTGTTGGTCCTTTCAAGGGTGAAAGGCGATGGCAAAGTTCAGTTGAGAGCAATGGGAGATAGCAGAGAAGATGGTGTTGGCAGTGAAGTGCCAAAAGACTTGAAGGTCAACGTCGTGAAAGTTTTGCAAAGGCTTCACAAAAGGTCAACAGCTGCCTTAGTTGGATATGCCTGATTGGCAGGAGCAAGAAGATAGCAAAGCATAGATGGCAGGGATAGGTGGCAGCAGGATGCAGGGCAGCCAGAAGGGCACAGATGAAAGGAGATAGGCAGGTGAGAGAAATTAAAGTGCATGTTGTGGTTGAAAATGGGGATAAGCTGCCTGAATTTTGATCATATAATATGGGTTACTTCAATGGCTGTAACTTTGAGAACATATGATAATTAGCATTTTTCACCCACCTTTTTCTTCTTTTTTCTGGAATGTCAAGCCCTGTTTTTTCTGAGTTTCATGAATCTAACAATGTATACAGTAACCAAAATAAGAACAAATCAAATTGCTATTCATAGGCACAATTTATTTCCTCAACTAGTGGGATAAAGGTGCAACATTTTATGGAAGGGAAGGGGGTTGGAACAGGCTTATACTGGCTAACAAGAGATAGTTATTAAATTTTCTGTAGTTTTGTGAGCCAGCTGAGAACAGAGCTAAGCAAAAACACTTAGTGCACTGATCAGCTGTATGGAAGCAAGTGTATGGATGGATATGGAGCCAGCAGATATGGTTGTTAAACATTGACCAAAACATTACTGATCATACTCTCCTTATGGATAAAGTTTATTAGTCTCATTTAGGAAGGGGTGGAGGGAAGGAGGGAGGGAGGGAGAAGGAGCCCTATTGATTCACTGCACTCCATATTCCATTCCTACCCCTTTATCTTTATCCCTTGCCTCTATCCACTTTGTTTATCTGCCCGATGGTGAGGCTGGTGGCTGAAACTGTAGCCTGATGCTGGATGACACCAAAACGAGTAAGAAAGCTCGGCAAGGGCTGGCCACCAGCTAGAGATTGGAGCTGGGGCTGGAATCATGGAGCTGAGACCCAGAGCTGGGGGAAAGGAGAAAGGAAAAGCAAGGGCATGCTGAGTCTTCCACCTGTAATTCAGAGGTCAGAGATGCTGAGCCAAGCCAGTGGCATTTACTTTTGCATTTGTATCAACAGAGGCAGCAACACCAAAACATTTTCTAAGGGTGAAATTTGGAGGCATGCGATGCTGAAACAAGCCAAAATGCTGGCAAGATATAGTGAAGCAGAAAAACATGGTCCTATTTTGGTCAGGAAAATAGAGGTTTAAAATGGCAAGGACCACAATGGCCATACGGCTGTAAGACAATGAATAAAAAGGCTGGTGGGGGATAGGATTGAAGAGCTGACTTGGAATTGGATGGTGATACCAACAAGCACAGAGACTTGGGGAATGATAGAATTGATCTCTATGCTGCTAGAACCACCATTGGAGAGAGGGGATGGGTTGTTTTTTGGGACGGAGGTAAAAGAAAAAATATTTACTTAAAATTTTGTTTATTATCCTTAATTGGTTATCACACTTCTGTCATTCTTCCCCATCATTAGAATCGTGCAAAATGCTACATGTATCAAATTGCTACATGTTGTCGTTATTTTTATTCAAATAATAATTTAAATATTTTTCTCCAGAAAAAGCAGTAATTATTTCAGCAAATAAAACATTCTTACCATTTTTTTATCTGAGGAAAATCCTACAGCTACCCAGCCATCAGCTTCAGCACTCAGTTCAAATTCTATGTCAGCTCCTATTCTGCGGTAACTGAGAAAATAGTCGCATGTATCTGCAGTGCATCCAGGTTTACCGTATCTACATGTGATAAAGGAAATGGACACAATTCAAAGAACCTTCCTCTTGAACTATATCTGTATTTGCAGCTAAACAATATTACATTGTCAGTTATTTCAAGGTTAGTGTACTGCTAACTTTCTCCCCATTTATTTAAGGGTTTATTGAATTGTTATAGTTTTTAGGTTTTTTATTTTTCCTAATTTACATTCAGTACCAGTTCTTGATTCATTAGCTTATGAATGAATCCCCATCCCAAAGTATGTGAAGAAAATAAAAATGTGACAAAATGTGCTCAGTCTATATGATTTCTACAAACTCTGATAAGAAAACATAAAGCATAGTGGGCATATTAAATTCTATTTGAATATGGTGTTGGAATCACGATTTGTGCTGGAATCAGAGCTATAAAACTAAAACCCTATACAACAAATTGTCTTCTGTTTCTACATTCTTGTCAGTTGTTCCAATAAAGGTAATGATTACTTCTCAAATATCATTTGGAAGATCCCAGAGACTCACTTCATTTACATTATGAACAGTGCCTTTTTAACTAGCAGCGCTAAGTAAAAATATTGACTTGCTAAAATATCATTTTGAAGTTGTTACACAAAAATACTCCGAAGGCTGAATCCTTATTGCTGTTACTTGATATGCAATCCTTGAAAACTTTAAGGGTTGCACACCAAATAACAATAAGGAGATTACTTAATCATAATGACCCAATCCTGATTTTTCCAGAGCCTTTTCTTTGCTCCTTGCTGTGAACCCTAATTATGGTTTCATGAGATGTCAGGATATTTTTCTCCTTATACACACACACAAAAAAAATGCAACTCCCAATAGATTATCTAATAAACCATTAATTTAAAGCCTGGTGCTAGAACACATAAGACAACTATTTTCCATGTTGATGAATTTGATGATTCGTGATGTATTTAAGGCAATGGGTCCTTAAGCATGTGTTAATTTGTTTGAAACAACTTTATTGTTTCATTAGGGGAGTATCAATTTCTGATCCCTCATCTTGACATTACAATAGGCAACTCAAAGCATTGTACCAAATACTTTCATGGAATACTGCAGGTTGGAATATATTTCATTTTCATCTTCTCTTTTTTCTGGAAATTTGGGCAACAGTAGATATCAAAGTATATTTCTTTGCTTTGAATGTTTTGAAAAAGTCTCCCATTGCTGAGAACCGTACTGTTACAGGCAGCCTTGCCTTTTTTTTTCTTTCTACTAGACTATGAGCTGAGATGATTGAACTCAGCATTTGTCAGTACTTTGTATACATATTTGACAATTGAACAATCATAGAATCATAGGGCTGGAAGGGACCTTCTAGTACAACTTTAAAACCTTTTCTCATCACTGAATTGCAATTTGTTGGATAGGACCCAATGCTCAAATATAAAGTGGTACAATCACTTCTCATGATCTTAATGTTAGCCCTCTCTTAATGCAGTCTTCGGAGTGCATTGGCTTTTTTTTTTTTTTTTTTTGGTAGATGCAGCATACTGCTGGCTCATACTTAAATGGTGGGCCAAGACACCTAGCCCCCNTTTTGGCTTTTTTGGTAGATGCAGCATACTGCTGGCTCATACTTAAATGGTGGGCCAAGACACCTAGCCCCCACTGTTACTATCGTTAAGCCAGGTACTGTCTTTCTATACCTATGTATTTGTTTTTCCCCACCTAAATGCAAAACCTTACACTATATGTAAAACCTTTTCTTATCACTGAACTTCATCTTATTGGATAAGGTCAAGTTTGTCAAGATCCTTCTGAATCCTGAATCTGTCTTCCAAAGTGTTTGCAATTCTCCACTAACTTTATGTCAAATTTGATGAGTTCCCCTTTTATTCCCTCATCTCCTTTATGAAGAAGTTGAAGAGCAGTGGCCCACGACAGAAACCTAAGGTATCCCAATGTATGCTTTCCTCTATGTAGATGCAGCTCCATTGAAGACTACATGCTGGATGTACCTGGTTAGGCAACTGTAAATCTATCTGATGGTGGTACTGTCTAGACATTATTCTACCTTACCAAGAAGTAGGCTGTGATTTACTTTGTCAAATGACTTACTAAAATCCAGATATATTATATCCACATCATTTCCCTGATTCACTAGGCAGTTTGTCAAAGAATGCAATAAGGTTTGTTTTTAGCAAACCCATGCTGTCTTCTAGTAATTGCCTTCTTCGTTTTTAGGTGCTCACGAATCTGCTGCTTGATTATTGCTTCAGGATTTTCCCAGGTATTGATGTCAGTCAGGTTGTTTGGTCTGTAGTTTCTTGGATCCACCTTTTTGAAGATTGAAACCATGTCAGCTCTTTTCCAGTCTTCCAGTAGCTCCTCTGTGCTCCAGGAGCTCTGAAAGATTTTGTTAAGTGGTTCTGAAATCACATCTGCCTGTTTTTCTGAATCATGGAGTATAAACCATCTGGTCCTGGAGAGTTGATCTGTCTAGAATGGATAGGTGTTTTCTTACCAATTCCTTGCCTATTTTGACCTCCATAACTGATCTGTTTCCCCACAGAATTGCTTTTTTGATAAATTGAACTATTTTTTTTCCTTTTTGCATGAAGACAGGTACAAAGAAGGAATTAAACAGTTCACTTTCTTCCTGCTGCCTGTCATCTCCTTACTACCTTCTCCCATTAGTTGACTAATCATTTCCCTGACTTTCTTCTTGTTCCTCACACATTAAAAGAAACCTTTTTTTTGTTATGCTGGTATTCTGCCTTAGTTATATATTTCTCTTTCCATTGTTTACACTTGTCCTTTTTTCTCTCAGTTTGTCAGAGAGTTCTATATGACTACATCTGGATTTTTGGATTATTTTAATAGTCAGTTATAAATGTCTGAATTGATCAAATCTTCTACCAAACTGATCACTTATCGAGTTTAAAATGGGCTGATACTTTACATGCAAGGGTTCCATTTCATTTTGCACATTCAACCTTACCTCAAAATATTTTTTTTAGTCAAGGAAAATATTTGTACATTTTAGTCCCCGTATCTTGTTTGGAAATTTGAATTTTAGTTTTTATATACTAAAAAGACTTTTATGTATCTAAACAGAAGCACCATTTACCTTCATGCTGTTTTCTTTTTCTATTAAGAGACCCTTATATACAGCTCCAGATTGTACAAGGTCTTTGTTCTTGAAGCAGCTTTGAGGAATGCTCTTTTCCAGCCTCTGCAGCCTCCCTGCTGCTGTGCAATTTTTGGAGGCTTTAGAGGTCATACAAGAATGCATCCCATTCTCATGCGGCTTCTGGAGCCTCCAAAAATTGTGTGAAGGCATACCTGTGCTCACACATTTTTTAGAGATTCTGAAGGCTAGGCAAGAACATGATCTCATGGACAGCTTCAGGGGGTCTGGAGGCCACACACTCTATTCTCATATGGCCTCTGCAGTCTTCAAAAATCACATAGGAATAGAGTGTGTTTTCAAGAATAATTGGGTGTTGATGAATGCTGACATAATTGCTACTATCATTGCCCTAAAGCATCTTCAAATTTTGTTTCATCTGAAATTTTTGCTGATCTACATCTAAAATGTTTCAAGAGAACTTCCTGGAATCAATGGTTTGTTTCAGCTTCAAAGCACATTTTCTGTTTTGTACATACCCCTAGTGTGTAATGTAATGTAAGCCTAAAGCAACACAATACAAGAAAAGAAATATAATTAATACTGAGGTAAGAGCTAGCCTTTTTTTAAAAAAATAAATTTTTGGTTGTTGGATTTGTGGGTGGGGGCTTCTGCAACAGTATTGGCCACCTATTTTCTGCTTTAACAGAAAAGTTAACATTTGTTTTCCACAGGTTTTTAAAAGAGAAAATTAAGTATTATGGTTTTCCCCATTTTTTTTAATTTGAGTAATATGAATGAATAACAATTGTGTTTGAGTTCATTCTTAATATTAACTGAGGAAAAGTTTCACAATCTTTTCAAGCCATCAATTACCTGAGAAAACTTACCACTATGACCTAATACAGAGCATTCACATTTGCCGTGTTCTCCTTAGATAACAACAGCAATTGGGACTGGGATTGCAATTGGTAAATGATGCAGTCATAAAGCATGATGTCATGCCGTTGCATTGCTTAGCGACAGCAATCCAGGCAGATCTAGTTGCTGGCGTAACTTCAAGAGACATGATTTAAGTGGGAAGCAGTGGGAGTTCCAGGAAAGGAGGCTAGGGAAGGCCCTTGGAGGCCTGGCAGACAGTATGTGAGTTGCGGGGAGGGGTTCTGCAGTGCTGTGCAAACACAGGGAGATCAAAAGAAGGAGGATGTGGGTTAGTGCAAGCACAGGAAGGGTGAGGGAAGGAGGTTGCAGATCAGTATAAGAAGACTAAACTGAGAGAAAATGAGGATGGGACTGGGAAAGTGCAAGAAGGCCAAGGGAAGATTGCAAATTACAATCATGTGACCATTGAATGCTGCAACTATTGCAAGTGCGAGCCAAACATCTGAATCATCATCATGTGACCATAGGAGTATTGCAATGGCTGGAACTTTGAAGACCAGTCATAAGTACTGGCCAACCCTGTTGCAACATTGTATGGTCACTGAATAAGCAGTAGGTATGTTTGTATATGGAAGATTTTGTCCACCTGGAAGGGGGTGGAGTAAGAGAAGTCAGAAAAGTATGTTTTGTCTTATGTGACATTCTGTTGTGACATCTACTTTGTCTTTGTTGCCCTCTTTTTAATCAATATCACAGATAAATTTTATACTGCCTTATTTTTGGCAGATATGACGCTATTATTTTCAGCATTGCAACATTTGTGGCATGTCAACATCATTTATACAAACATTGACTCATAGGTTTGACCAATGTTAAGTTAATGTTAAATAAATGTGACATTTGCAACAGCAACTAGATAGCATGCTATTTTACACATCCATGTCTCTCACTTCTATTGCTATCTTCTGTTATGAGATATACTGTTATATATGTAATGAACATGTTATTTGGTTGTCTACTTTTGACACACGTTTGTATT